AAACCCGAAACCCTAAACCCGACCCCTGAGCCGGCCTCAGAGCCCGAAACGTTTCCCTTGAGCAGACGAGACAAAGACACTACGAATAACTCCTTGCCGATAACGGTTTAGGGTTTAGGGTTATGCTGATAACGAAGAAAACAACTACAGCTTATAACCAGAACCATACCCACGAAAATGAGGTATATACGATGATAAGAACAGTGATGGGCCACATAAGACTTAAGCCCTGTTAGTGTCAACGTGGAGAAAGTGACCACACAAATCGAAGATTACAATAGCAGTCATGATAATCAGGATGAAAACCATTACGACAATAGTAGTGACACTGGTCATGACTGTAATCCTGATATTTCTTGAACATGAAACTAACAACAGCAGTCACAGTAAGTATCACGACAACAAATGGGGGCTTCCGAAAATAGGGNNGTACCCTAAATAGTAGGACCCTTAATTATAAAGACCCCCAAAATACGGTACCCCCTTATTTTCGGAAACTCCCAAATCACCTTGAACCCTAAACCCTAAACCCCAAACCCCTAAACCCTAAACCCTAAACCCAAACCCCTTAGAGGTCGCCTTGCCAGGCGGGGGTGAGTGTTCCTCCGGCGGGGTGATGGTCCCTGCCGACTCCTCCTCCGCCTGTTGGGGGGTTGAGCTTCAACGAATACGGGTTAGGGTTTAGGGTTTAGGGTTTAGGGTTTAGGGTTTAGGGTCCAGGGTTTACGGTTTATGGTTTGGGTTCAGGTTTAGGGCCTTGCATGTAGGCGGAAGGGCGTTGCGAGGGTTATGTCAGAAGTACCACATAGCCAAGACTACATGTGCCGGTAAGCACCCCCGAGACCCCAGCGCCATCAATTCACGAGACATTCTATCCATCATGACCTTCGATTCGAACTTAACTTGAGGAATGTTCCTTGCTTCAAGAGTATTAAGCACTCTGGGTTTAGGGCCCAGAGTTTCAGTGGCTTTCTAAACGAAGGCTCTTCAGGTCGTTTCCAGTTGGGAACCTTTCATTCAGGCTGAGTCTTGCCGCAGCAGCTGATGCAAGGTCTAGGGTCTTGACTCGGTTTAAGGATTCGCAATTCGCAAAAATTGGGGCCAGGTCTGCCACGCAAGTTGCTAGCAAACCCCAAGCATCTGAGAGCTCAGGATTTAATATAGGCGCCTGAATAACTAGAAGAGGGTTTGGGGGAACATTATGCTCTAACTTCAGTAAGGAGCCTCCAAGAACCGCGATTGCTGATTGTTCAGGCCCCTGTACTACCTGGACACCAAAGTTTATAGAATACTAGCTTTTTGTAGGTGTTGAGCCATTAGTTTACCTACTTTGGAGGTTTAGATCTTCATTAGCTAAAGGAGGAACCCCAAGAAATGTCATTCCGAAATATTCAGGATTCCGAATTATTCAGGCCCCTGCACCAGTCATGACCCCTAAACCCTAAACCCTATTCCCTAAACCCTATACCCCAAACCCCAAAACCTATACCCAAAATCCTGAACCCTAAACCCAAAACCCCAAACCCTAAACCCTAAACCCTAAACCCAAAACCCTAAACCCAAAACCCTAAACCCTAAACCCTAAACCCCAAAACCCAAAACCCACTTCAGAAGAGGGTGCCTGCTCGATTCTCTGCATCCTGGACTCATCAGGCCTGACTGGAGATCGAAGCTCGCCTACTGCGCTAGGCTTCGGCCTTCAGTCTAGTTTAGGGTTTAGGGTTTAGGGTTTAGGGTTTAGGGTTTAGGGTTTAGGGTTTAGGGTTTAGGGTTTAGGTTTAGGGTTAGGCTCTAGGGCGACTTGCTTCGCTTGGATGTACTCTCTACAACTCGAACGTCAGCAGCCTGGGGCCACTGGCACATGGGGGCTTTGCTTAATCGGACCCATAAGAGCGCAGAACCTAACTGGACTCAACATGCTGTTCTGAAGGTTCAGGCTTCTGCTGGCCCCTCGTGGAAATCTTACTTGCTGCTGTCAGTGGAAGCTGCCAAGCAGGCTGCCACCCTTCATACTCACGGCTTCAGGGCTTCAGTTTTCAGTTTACAAGACCACCACGTAAATTGAACACCTTCCATTTAGATTCTGGCACCTTAAAGAGCAACTATTGTAGTAACATTATGAGCATGGCAACTCTTATCGCAGCCCTTGCTGCTGGGGTCGTGACAGCCGATGTTTGCCTTTTGGAGTGAACTGCGTCTCGTGGTGCTGGTCCTTGGTGATGGGATTGGCATTCACTGTTGGTGCTACTTCGCGAGAGCAACCACGCTGCACATTCTTCCTCCCTTGCATGAGTATTAGAAGTAGAAGTGGCACAATAGTGGTAGAAGTCGTCGTCGTCGTTGTCAAAGTAGTCGTCGCGGTGGTCGTAGTCGTAGTGGGAGTAGGAGCAGGAGCAGGAGCAGGAGCAGGAGCAGGAGGAAAAGGAGGAGGAGGACGAGTACGAGGACGAGGACGAGTACGAGGACGAGGACGAGGAAGAGGAGGAGGAGCTAAAGAGACTAGGTCTACCTGTTCCGCTTCTACGACTACAGAGCAGACGAGTGTTTCTAATTATAGCACGAGCTACCACTGCTGCCACTGTCGCTGCACATCATATCGTGCCCTTTGAGATTTTCAGGCTTTCCCACTCAGGGTTCAGTATAAGACAGCCAAGCCCACAAGCTCCAATTCCGGAGCCGTGGCATCGTTGGTTACGATTTAGGGCTCGAGTTTCAGAGCTTAGGGCCTGAAAGCGGCGATGGGGATGGAACAGCTTGGTTGCCCATATAAATGTGCGGCTTGTAGGTAAGCCTGGGTCACGCTTCTGCAGAGATACACCTCGAGTGCTGCGTGCTCAGATGGAGAGTGTCACTTTTCATGCACGCGCTCACCCTGCATCGGGACACCTTCACACTAGATCTTTTTGACTAATAAACAACACACGTCTCCTGTGCTGAAAGCACCGATATCATTTTTGAAGGCCCACAAATCTTCTGCATTGAAGCATGTCGGGCCGCTTCTACTGCACGACTTACATACCCCTGAATGAAGGAATATGGCTTAAACTGTGGAGAGGTTGAGAAATATAATGTCCCTTCACTAAGGTGTACTGGGCTCTCAAGGGCCCCCCAAAACCGTTTTCAACCCACCAAAACCTGAACAAAAACTTGATAAACTCCTGTTTTTACACAAACACCTTCAAACACAGTTTTGTCGAAACACTAGCGCCGCAAAACACACACGCATAAAGAGACAGAGCGGCCGAACCCTAAAACCCTAACACCCTAATCTCGGAAATATCCTCGAAATAAAAACTGACGAAATTTTGGGCCCTGAGAGGTCGGCCCAGACGGTGTCCGCCGCGGAGGCTCGTGGAGATCCCTGAAAAGTTCAGCCGTTTTGCATGATTTTTTCAAACTATAGGAAATAGTTCAATTTGTTTTTGGAAGTTTTATGGTATCTTCATGGCATCTTGAAGGTTTTCTAAAGGTTTTTGTGGCATTTGACCTAGGGCTTTGGTGCCTACGATTTGCGGGTTGAAAGGTCAGGCTTTGGTGGTTTACGGGTTTAGGAGCTGGGGTTCAGCGCAGTGTGTGTTGGGGGGGTTCAGGGCGTCAGATTTGGGATTTTGGGATCGAAGGCTTCAACTCCGAGTTCATTCTGGATTCAGGAACTAGGGGTTAACGGCTTCGAGGTTCAAGACTTACAGTTGGTGTTCAGATCAGGGTTCAACGTAGGGCAATCTGCTTGACTCAACTCATCCGATGATATATTGCAGTTTTGTCAACACGAACTGAGGTGCAGTAGTTCGAAGGCCAGTAGTAACAACAGCAAGAACACTCGTTGCAGTCGAGGCAATGATTACGTAGTGATTCGAGCAAGTACTCGCGAAGAAAAGAAGAGTACAGCGAGTACATAGTAGTACTGGTGATGCATGTGCAGCGCTTGCACCAGTATCTCTTTCGAGAGAAGGAGTAGAAGTAGTAGTAGTAGTAGTAGTAGTAGTAGTACTACTACTACTACTACTACTACTAGTAGTAGTAGTAGTAGTAGTAGTACTACTAGTAGTGGAAGTAGTAGTAGTAGT